TATGGTTCCGTACATAAGATGTAGCTCTTGAATTATGTAATATGGTTCCGTACGTAAGATGTAGCTCTTGGATTATGTAATATGGTTCCGAACATAAGATGTAGCTCTTCATATTATAAGATAGGAAAGTCTCTGACGACATCAAGACGAGGACTGATATTGTAAGATAGGAAAGTCTCTGACGACATCAACATGAGGACTGATATTATAAGATAGGAAAGTCTCTGACGACATCAAGACGAGGACTGATATTGTAAGATAGGAAAGTCTCTGACGACATCAACATCAGATCACGTACATTTTCACATGCAGTTGAAGATACTTTTATCGTGATTTATTGTACGTTATTTTAGTATTTGTCGTTTTTTTTATCGGTATGACGAATCATTTATAAAAAAGAGAGTTGATTTTCCGTTTCAGATCAGTCATTTCAAGATCCCAAGATATATTATCTTTGTGAATGATTTTCCAAAAACAGGATCTGGTAAAATTCAAAAGTTCAAGATGAAAACAGCATCTACCGAGGTTCTGAAATTGGACAACAAAATCTGAATTAATAACGTGTGATGTTCACATTGTATATGTTATCACGAAGTGGGCGAAATATTTACCATTTCAATCCTAGGTTTTATATTTTTTTTTATTCATACAAACTACTGTCTGTAATCGTAAAGTGAGAAAATAATTTAAACCTATTCTGATTTATTGAAACTGTTCAGTTAGGCTTAACGATAACAAATTTAATAAAGAAGATAAAAAAATTAGCCTGTTTATATAACGGGAAATAATACTAACGAAATTTGTTTCTTTCAAAACAAAAGGTTAAATGAATAAAGTTGGAAAAAATGTTGTTTGTTTGTTTGTTGTTAAGCACAAACCTACACAGTGGGCTATCTGTGTTGTTCCCACCTCGGGCATTGAAACTTGATTTTTAGCGTTATAAGCCTCACCAGAGAGCCACTGTAGGTAGTTAGAAAAGAAATCAACATTTACTAAATATTAGGATGTGATAACTTGAACGGGGGAAAATGAAAATAAACAAGCGGACTATTTTCTTACGAGTAATTAGTTCAGTCGCGTTACTTGAGCATACTTCCAAACGTCAAAACTATTGTCGGTAGTTGACCAATCAGAAAGGCAGATAAGTATCCCAGGAAACAGTGGATATCCTCCGTGATATGATAGGGTTAAAACAAAGAGGACAACTGGCTGAATTTAGCAAATAATCTTGACAGAACTTAGTGGGTTCCAAGGTAGAAGTTTTCCACACCTGAAATATAATCACGTTTTCACACATCAAAAAGTTTTTGACCCCTGTGTGACGTAATAGGCCAGAAATCTAAGTTAACCACCCACGAATCAACACTCCTCTTCACGTACTTGATCTCCAATAAAGTAGAAAATGTCATGCTCATTTCCTGAAATGCAAATGCCAAAGTCTGCTGACTTATGCATAACAATGTGCCGATGATGACGTATCGGTTTGGAGAGTCCCCTGCTATCATTCAACACAGTTCACTCAATGAGGTCACAGTATGGTGCAATAAATGTAGTCGTTCTTAATCCGTCGTAAAAGCTTAAGCAGGAAGTTTACAAGAGGTTTTGAGCGCCCCCTGGTTATCTCTCAGGCCCCTTCGGGCCTGTCAAGTTATCTTTCGTTCGTTCCAAGACTTAAGAAATATCCACAAACACAATCAGATCTTTTAACAACATTTTCTGGAAACCAAAACAAAATCGTGTGTACCATTTGCGCCAGAATCCAAGAGCTACATCTTATGTACGGAACCATATTACATAATCCAAGAGCTACATCTTATGTACGGAACCATATTACATAATTCAAGAGTTACAGCTTATGTACGGAACCATATTACATAATCTAAGAGCTACATCTTACGTACGGAACCATATTACATAATTCAAGAGCTACATCTTATGTACGGAACCATATTACATAATCCAAGAGCTACATCTTATGTACGGAACCATATTACATAATCCAAGAGCTACATCTTATGTACGGAACCATATTACATAATTCAAGAGCTACATCTTATGTACGGAACCATATTACATAATCCAAGAGCTACATCTTATGTACGGAACCATATTACATAATCCCATCAACATGAGGACTGTCGTCAGAGACTTTCC